ACTTCTGGCAAAATTGTTAAAGAACTGTGCACAGGGCAACCTCATGGGTCAAATGCACTATATTGCCAAAAGTATTGGGACGCTTGCCTTTACACATACATGAACTTTAATGGCATCCCAGTCTTAGTCTATAGAGTTCAAAATTGAGATGGCCTACCCTTTGCAGCTATAACAGCTTCAACTCTTCTGGGAAGGCTGTCCACAAGGTTTAGGAGCGAGTCTATAGGAATGTTCCAGAAGTGCATTTGTGAGGACAGGCACTGATGTCAGACAAGAAAGAAGGCTTGGCCCACAGTCTCCGCTCTAATTCATCCCAAAGATATTCTATCAGGTTGAGGCAAGGACTCTGTGCAGGCCAGTTAAGTTCTTCCACTCCAAATCTTGCTCATCCATGTCTTTATGAACCTTGCTATGTGCACTGGTACGCAGTCATGTTGGAACAGGAAGAGGCCATCCCCAAACTCTTCCCACAAAGTTGGGAACATGGAATTTTCCAAAATGTCTTAAATGTCTTGGTATGCTGATGTCTTAAGAGTTCCCTTCACTGGAACTAAGGGGCCAAACCCAACCCCTGAAAAACAATCCCACACTAGTGATGGGCTTAACACCCAGTGGCGGACTGACCATTCAGGCATTCAGGCATTGTCCGAGGGCCTGGAGTCAGTAGGGGGTCCAATGAGAGGCTCCACAGATGTCATAGAGGGGCAGCATATTTAGGTCTGTCTGAATAATGTGTCTGCCTCAAAACCCAGACACATTATTCCTCCATCCATTACCTCCCTCCTCCCTCCTTCCTTCCTTCCTTCCTTCCTTCCTTCCTTCCTTCCTTCCTTCCTCCCTCCATCTCCTTCCTTCATCCCCTTCCTTCCTCCATCCCCTTCCTTCCCTTCCTCCTTTACCTTCTTTCCTCCATCCATCCATTCCTACCTTCCTTCCTTCCTCCCTCCCGCCACTCCTTTCCTTCGTTCCTTCTCTCCCTTTCCTTCATTCCTTTCTTCCTCCATCCCCATTCCTTCCTTCCTTCCTTCCTTCCTTCCTTCCTTCCCTCCCTCCATCCCCTTCCTCCCCTTCCTTCCTCCATCCCCTTCCTTCTTTTCCTCCTTTACCTTCTTTCCTCCATCCATCCATTCCTACCTTCCTCCCTCCCGCCACTCCTTTCCTTCGTTCTTTCCTTCCCTTTCCTTCATTCCTTTCTTCCTCCATCCCCTTCCTTCCTTCCTTCCTTCCTTCCTTCCCTCCTCCATCCATTCCCTGCCTCCCTCCCTTTTCTTCCTTCCCTTCCTTCTTCCATCCCCTCTCTTCCTTCTTTCCTCCCTCCCCTCCTTTCCTTCCTTCCTTTCTTCCTCTCTTCCTTTCTTCCTTCCTCCATCCCCTTCCTCCCTTGCCACCCTTCTTCCATCCATTACTTCCTTCCTCCATCCCACCCCTCCTTTCCTTCATTCCTTCGTTCCTTCCCTCCCCTTCCTCCATCCCCTTCCTTTCTTCCTCTCTTCCTTTGTTCCTTCCTCCATCCCCTTCCTCCCTGGCCTCCCTTCCTCCATCCATCCATTCCTACCTTCCTTCCTTCCTCCATCCTGCCCCTCCTTTCCGGCAATTCTTCCCTCCCCTTCCTTCATTTCTTCCTTCCTCCATCCATTCCCTTCCTTCCTCCATCCATTTCCTTCCTTCCTTCCTTCCTTCCCTCCCTCCCTCCCTCCCTCCCTCCCTCCCTCCCTCCCTTTTCTTGCTTCCCTTCCTTCCTGCATTCCCTCTCTTCCTTAATTCATCCCTCCCCTCCTTTCCTTCCTTCCTCCATCCCCTCCTTTCCATCCTTCCTTATAATTCCTTCCTTCCCATCCTCCATCCATTACTTCCCTCCCTCCTTTTTCATCCTTCCTTCCTTCCCTCCTCCATCCCCTTCCTTCATTTCTTCCTTCCTCCATCCCTTCCTTCCCTTCCTCTCTTGCCTCCCTTCCTCCATCCATCTATTCCTGCCTTCCTTCCTTCCTTTCTCCCTCCCTCCCACCACTCCTTTCCTTTGTTTCTTCCCTCCCCTTCCTTCATTCCTTCCTTCCTCCATCCATTCCCTTTGTTCCTCCCTCCCTTTTCTTCCTTCCCTTCCTTCATCCATCCCCTCTCTTCCTACTTTATTTCCGTCCTTCCCTCTTCCACCCCCTTCCTTCTCTTCCTTCCTCCATCCCCTTCCTTCCCTTCCTCCCTTGCCTCCCTTCCTCCATCCATCTATTCCCTCTCTTCCTTCCTTTCTTCCCTCCCTCCCACTATTCCTTTCTTTCATTCCTTCCCTCCCCTTCCTTCATTCCTTCCTTCATCCATCCATTCCCTTCATTCCTTCCTCCATCCATTTCCTTCCTTCCTTTCTCCATCCATTCCCTCCCTCCCTCCCTTTTCTTCATTTCCTTCCTTCATCCATCCCCTCCCTTCCTTCTTTATTTCCTTCCTTCCTTTCTTCCCTCCTCCACCCCCTTCCTTCCTCCATCCCCTTTCTTCCTTCCTCTCTTCCTTTCTTCCTTCCTCAATTCCCTTCCTTCCCTTCCTCCCTTGCCCCCCTTCCTCCATACATTCCTACCTTCCTTCCTTCCTTTCTCCATCCCGCCCCTCCTTTCCTTCATTCCTTCCCTCCCCTTCCTTCATTCCTTCCTTCCTTCCTCCATTCCTCCCTTTCTTCCTTCCCTTCCTCCATCCATTGCCTCCTTTCCTCCTTTTTCTTCCTTCTTTCCTCTATCCATTCCTTTCCTTCCTTCCTTCCTTCCTTCCTTCCTTCCTTCCTTCCTTCCTCCATCGATTCCCTCCCTCCCTCCCTCCCTTTTCTTCCCTCCCTTCCTTTCTTTCTCAATCCCCTCCCTTCCTTCTTTATTCCCTTCTGTCGTTCCTCCCACTCTCACTTCCTTTCTCTATCTTCCTTCCGTCATTACCTCTCCTGGCTTTGTGACTTCCTCCATCCATTTCCTTACTTCCTTCTTTCCTTCCTTTCTTTCTTTCTTCTTTCTTTCTTTCTTTCTTTCTTTCTTTCTTTCTTTCTTTCTTTCTTTCTTTCTTTCTTTCTTTCTTTCTTTCTTTCTTTTCTTTCCTTCCTTCCTTCCTTCCTTCCTTCCTTCCTTCCTTCCATCCGTTTCCTTCCTTCCTAAAGAACTACTGACACCATCCACTGCCCTACTGACACCATCCTGCACATGCTACTCATTGCCATACACTCCACACTCATCTCCCTGTACATACTACCCACTATCATACACTCCACACTGTACATTCCCTATTTAACAGTACCACATTCTGCACAGACATCACACACGTTTTAACCACACCCCTTTTAATCCACACCCACTTTTAAGAGCACTTTAAACCACACCCCTCTCTGTCACTCTCTGTCACCCCCTCCTCTCTCACCTCTTACTCTCTCTTTCACTCCTGCTCTCTCTCACCCCTCCTCTCTCTCACTCCCCCCACATGGCAGCCATATTTAAACCTGGAAGTGCCCAGTGGCTTCTACAGAAAGAAGTCAGGAACATTCATGCAGGCTTTGCTGCAGTAAATAATTAAATACCCCTTCTATGCAGTTACGCTGCAATATGTAGGTGGGGAATTGTGTGGGTGTGGTTTGAGTGTAGGCGGGGACAAAGGGAGTCCCATTATCTCTTGGTGCCCGGGGGCCTCATGAGTCTGCCCCTGCTAACACCCCGATGGTTGAACGTTCGACTGCGAACTTCAAACTCAATGCAAGTCTAAGGGACTCGAACTTGTAAATTCAAAAGTGCCTATCTTGAAGGCTTATATGCAAGTTATTGGCCCTTTAGGACTGATAGGAAGTTTAGGAATGACCCTACAGTATAACATTTTTTTAAAAAGTGCATGGGGTTCCCCTTAAAAGCCACACCAGGCCTTTTAGACTTGGTTAGGACTTTTAAGGGGAACCCAATTCCCAAAAATAAGAGGAATAGGTTGTGGGGTTCCCCCTAAAAGCCATACCAAGCCCTTTAGGCTTGGATAGAACTTTTAAGGGGAACTCCACCCCAAAAATGCCCTACATTCCTACCAGACCCTTGATCAGAGCACAGGCCTTGTAGGGTAGGAAAGGGGGGCGATTAACTGCCCTCCTCCAACAGCTTACCAGGTCATGTCCCCTCGGCATTGGGATAGTGTCCTCATGCCGATATGGACAACGGCCTCTTCTCCACAACCCTGGCCCAATGGTTGTGGGGGTCTGTGGGCAGGGGGGCTCATTAGCATTAGGGCACCTCTTTAAATAGGGAGGCACCCTGATTCTGCCCCCCCCTTGTGAATGAGTAAGCGGTACTTGTACCCCTACCCATTCACTAAAGGGTTACATTTTTTAAAAATAAAGATGCCACACTTTTGAAAAATTCCTTTAATTGAACAAAAAACAAAACAGCCAAAAAAAATGGTTCCAGCGTTGTAATCCATCATAAATCATGGCGTCCAGCGCTGTCACGCTGCAACCGACTCACCAAAATGAAAAAAAAAAAACACACCTGCCGTCCCGTCCGCACCCTCTGTGCACTCGCAGCAATATGACAGGTCTGACATTTGCCAGTCAGATGCAAACAAACAGGCATGGCTAGCGGTGACGCCACTGCTAGCTCCGCCTAATTGTGCAGTGATTGGCCAAAGCAATGCCCCTGACCTGTGGTCATGTGCATTGCTTTGGCCAATCATGGCTCTCACAATGCATTGTTAGAGCGCAGTGCATTGTGGGGTGCTCAGCGGTCGAATAGCCCAGCCTACCGAAAGCCCTAACCATTTGTGTGTTCGGCGAACATACAAATGGCTGATGTTTGAGTCAAACTTACGGTCGACTAGAACAATGAGTTCATCCCTACTTAGCACAATTAAGTCAGGCAAGTACCGTCCTGACAACCGCGAAACCCAGACATGTCCATCAAATTGCCAGACATAGAAGAATGATTGGTCACTCCAGAGAACACATCTCCACTGCTCTAGAGTCCAGAGGTGGCGTGCTTTACACCACTGCATCTGGCGCTTTGCATTGCACTTGGGGATGTTAGGCTTGGATGCAGCTTCTCAGCATGGAAACCCATTTCATGAAGTTCTGTACGCACTGTTGTTGTGCTAATCTGAAGGCCACATGAAGTTTGAAAGTCTTTAGCTATTGATTTTGCAGACAGTTGGCGACTTCTGCGCACTGTGCATTTCAGCATGCGCTGACCCCTCTCTGTCATTTTATGTGCCTGCTGTTGTTCCCGGTTGCTTCCACCTTGTTATAATACCACTAACAGTTGACCGTGGAATATTTAGTAGCAAGGAAATTTCACAAATGCACTTATTGCACAGGTGGCAACCTATCACTGTACCACACTTGAATTCACTGAGCTCCTGAGAGCGACCCATTCTTTCACAAATGTTTGTAGAAACAGTCAGCATTCCTATGTGCTTGATGTTATACACCTGTGGCCACGGAGGTGATTGGAACACCTGAATCCAATGATTTGGAGGGGTGTCCCAATACGTTTGCAATATAGTGTATATGAAAGTAAAAACACACTGCAAGAAAGGACAGGATTAAATAGGAGAAAAAGAGGAAATGTGTATCTGGCAAAAAGGGTAGTCACCTCAATCTCAAACAGAGCATAAGAGTGAGAGAACATAACCAGAAATTAAATCAGATGCACTCCTGGTCCACTGCAATTTATTCAGTGAGAAACTGGCCAGTGGGAACCCCAGCCCATCCCCATAATATCACAACCCATACCTAGCAATGAGAGGAGATAGACACAGAACAGTATAGGAGTAGAAGCATAAAATCAACATAGAACACAAAAAATCGACAACAGTTTAATTTAATATGTCGCTATACACAGCCACCGAGTACCCAGATTAACATCCTTTGGGAATAACACCTTGGTCCTTACACTGGGAGAGGCTGAAACTGGATGGGCTCTAGGGAAATTCTTTACAAAATTCAGGAGTGCTTTAGTCACTTAATCTCTGGACTGAAACAAATAAATGTTGGCTGTGTGTAGGTGTAAGATCTTTATAGGTGTACTATGGGTCTCACTGTACTGTAGATAACTAGAATAGGGAAATACTTTGTTTTATTAAAATTTGTCAAAATTTTAAATGATATATTATTTTCTGCATTGAATTTCAATTATTTCTAGCCTACTCCTGTTAATCGAAATGATCTTGAAGTTTGAAAATTTACTTTTTGAAGAAACCTGCACATTTAACCTCTTGATTCATACGTCCTAACTTTTGAACTTGACAAAGATGGCACATTACGCACAGGCACAGAGGTCATGGGTATTGAGGTCAGAAGTTGGAAGTACATTATGCAGAGTGAACTGCTCAGGAGAGCATAATGCAGAGCGTGCAGGGCTCATGAATGTATAACACACAAAAGTGAACGGCTCAGAAGTATGTTAGAGAATGCAGGGCTTGGGAGTTAGTTAATTTTTCAAAGAGTGAAGTGGTCAGGAGTGTGTAACTCACAGAGTACAAGAGTGGGTATAATAGAGAGTACAGGGGTCAGGAGTGTGTAACTCACAGAGTACAAGAGTGGGTATAATAGAGAGTACAGGGGTCAGGAGTGTGTAACGCATAGTGGGAAGGGCTCAAGGTTACATAAGTCATATGTAAGCAGGGCTCAAGAGTGTGGAAAGGGGTGTGGAGTGGGGGGTCAGAAGTTGTTGTTTCATAGAGTTCAGGGGTCAGGCGTGCATAACATACAGAGTTCAGGGGTCAGGACTGTTTATTATACAGATTGCAGGGGTCAGGAGTGGTTTTTGCATATAATGCAGTGGTCAGGAGAGTGTGATGCACACAGTGCAGGGGTCAGGTCAGGGGTCAGGAGTGCGTAGCATACAGTGAGAAGGGCTTAGGAGCATTTAACACAGAGAGTGTAGGGGTCATGAGTGCATAACATTCAGAGTACCCATTTCAGTAGTGGGTAGTGCAGAGAGTGCAAGGGTCAGAAGTGCAAAAAAGCACTGAACATAGAGGTGAGGAGTGGTTAACACACAGAGTTCAGGGCTAAAAGGGGCTTATCATATAGAGTGCAGAGGGGGAGAGGAAGTTTGCATGTGGGTTAGCTATGATGAAGGCTTCAGCTGAAACGCATTAGCATCCTGTTGTGGATATGGAGGTTCAGTCCAACAGGAGTTCCTAAACTTTAAAGAAATTTGGGATGCCACACCCAAACTCCATTGAAATTAATGGAAGCCAAATCTGTCAAAATAAATGTTGCACCACCACAGTTGCTAGTGTAGATAAATTTAGTTTGGCTCCTCTGTAGGTTAAATGTGTTTAGGAGGCTGGGCGGTGCTTCACCGGCTGTGGCTCTGTTACCTCCCCCTTATCTTCTGGAACTCACTGGAAATTTCTAGAACATAGTGGGTGGAGGGACCAAGGCTGCAGTCTGAATATTCATGGAGCTTCCACCAATCCCTGGGAAGGTGGGGAAGCAGCCCATTAATACTCTGGTAGTCTGGGAGAAGAGTCCAGGGTCCAGTTGTCTAGAGGGACACCTGGGCTGGGGGCTCTGTCCTCAGGGGCAGAACAGAGGAGTGAGAGAGAAGAAGATCCAGGACATCACTCAGCCATTGCCTCAGCTTGGCCTAGCTGCAGACTTCAAGCCAAGTGAGAAGCAGTCTGTTAAGCAGAGGGGTCAGTGCAGCAGTTTTCTGGATTCTAGGAGCTACTTAAAAGGACTGAGAGAGTACACACCAGCCACCATACCCAAAGCAACAGAGAGTACAGTGTAGTGCGTTACCACACATTACTGGGACCAAGGGGACAGCTTTAGTGCAGTGCAAGACATCCAGGAGAACCCCAACATCTCTACTTTGGGTCTAGAGTAGCCAGGTACCAAGTGCAATACAACCAGGAGCTGACTGTTCAACATTTACTTTTTGGAACTTTAATCTTTACTTCAAATGCACCAATACTCCCACTGGTGTACAGCCTAGTTCAGTCAGACTTTATCAGCCAGGGACTTTAGTAGTTCCTCATTCGCTTTTTTGGAGTTTACACGTTTCTTCAGTTTGGGGGCATCCCATGTACCCCCAATCCCTCCCAAGTTCTTTGTTCCCAAAACAGATACTAAAAACCAAAACCCCTAGACTGTTTCTTCTTTCTGAAATAGGTCTGAAGTCCGTCGGCTTCTTCAGGGGGTAGCGCTATATAAAAATACCCATTTTCTAACCTAATATACCTAATATACAAGTGGGTGTAAAAAAAATAGCATTGGGGAGGGTGGCTGGGAGCACTGACATTTGCAAAGGAAAAAAGTTTTAAAATTGGCAATAAATGATTTTGCCAACACAGAGACCCACCTAAAGGTCTACTATGTATTTCAGGGTTCCTTTGGAGCAGTATGCTTCTTTTTTTTTAAATTTTGAATGTGATTTGTAGGCAATTTAAACGGTTTAATTTTTTTCTTTGTCGATGTAATTTTTGCTGTAGCACGTGTTACACCAAAAATGAAAAATGAAAAAATTGCATAGAGCACCCTCCCCCCCAAATCCAATCCAGACCCTTGAGTCTGGTATGGATTATAAGGGGGTACCTCATAAAAAAAAAACCTGTGTTAGATACCGAGGAATCCACACCTGGCTCTTCAGGTCTGGCACAGATTCTCCAGGCAAAAAAAAAAAAAGTGTAAGGTACCTCTAAAACTCCATACTGGACTGTAATCAGAGCATATAGCCTGGCTGGCTGGGAAGGTATGTGGGGGGAAGAAGTATGTGTACTCCCACACCCCTTCCTGAGCCATATCTGAGCTTATGAAGGATTTAGATGTATTTGCTCGTAGATCAAATTTTTCAGTACATCATTGAGGGTCCCAAAATCAAGGAGAGGGGCCCCACTCTAAGGTCAGTTGTCGGACTAGAGGGAAATGGTTAGATTATTGGGCATCGAAAATGTTGGTCAAGTTGTAGGGGTGAATCACAAGGGCTTGGATCTCCACCTGCTGAATGCTCTCTACCTCTTCTTTCTTCTGATACAACTACGGTATATTATAGGGATTTTCCTTCCTAGAAAAGGTTTAAAAACAAATATACAAAATTTTGAATACAGTCTAATGCTAAAGATGATTTGTTTGTGAAACTTGCTATCAAGGATATTGTAGAGATGTTGTATCATAGGGGAATTGATAATATATAATCTCAGCTCACCAACGCCAAGCTTTGGTGCACTTACAGCAACCAGGGGCGGACTGACCATTTGGAAACTCGGGCACTGCTCGAAGGGCCTGGGGTCAGTAGGGGACCCCATGAGATGCCCTTGGTACCTTTTTCATAGGCTTTTTTGAGTTTGGGCAAGGACATAGGGGCCCCATGATCCCCTATTGCCCGGGGGCCCCATGAGTTGTCAGTCCGCCCCTGACAGCAACGTAAAGATGTGATCATTAAACCATTGGCTAAGGGGGCAACATGGTTCTTATGGACACACCCCATTATATTCAGATGTGTGAAAGGATTTTGAAAAACAAGTGGTGTAGGAAGGCAGACAGTGGTGTACTGCAGGAAAAAAATAATGAGTTTTTCAAGTTGATAAAATATGCATACATGAAGGGAATCTCGAAAGACCTGACAGAATTTTTAAAGATTAGGGAGCCTACAACACTGACTTTCTATGCATTACCAAAGACACACAAAATTATCCTAGATCCTCCAGGGAGACCGATTGTCTCTGGCATTAACTGCCTAACTCATAATGCAAGTATTGATATGGATGATTATTTGAGATCCCATGTAGAAGGATTGCCTTGATATCTGAAAGATGCATTACATCTCCTCACAATTTGGATGGAGTTTACATCACATCTGAAATTATACTGGTCTCTAAAGATGTGGAAACTTTATATTCTTTTAATAAAAGGCCTAGCTACTACCTATACATTTTGCATGAACATGCTGCTGAAAAACAGGGGTAAAATGCTGATGACGCCGACCTGCTAAAATATAAAAAAAAAAAACAACTCTGCCCCGTCTGCACCCACCAAGCACTTGCCGCAATATGACAGGTCTGACAGTTTTCGTTTTTTGTTTTTTTTGTTTAACCACATGCTGACCGCCCTATAGAAGATATACTGCTAGAGGGTGGCAGGGGTGCGCAAAATTATGTATATATACACGTGATTTTGTATTTCCAGGTAGGGGGCGCGTGCGAGCAGCACACGCGCCCTACCTGCGCCGCTATTTGCGGCCGTGGCGTTTCGTCATTACCGATGACCTTTGATGGGGAGGAGGGCTGCTTTATTTACTAACAGTCCTCCTCCCTGTTGGTTCAGGCACACTACATTTGGGTGCAGTGCTGCATGACCACGCAATTGTCAGTTAAATAAACACAGCACAGTAATGCAAAAAATGGCCTGGTTAGGAAGGGGGGTGAATCCTCAAGAGGGCAAGTGGTTAAAGGAATTTTTCAAAAGACTGGTCTCTTTATTTTTTACTGAATTTATTTGAACACAGTGTTTACTGTGTTCTCTTGGCAGTACTGCATACAAAATTGAGTTTATACATATAGCAGGGCTCTTTAGTGAATAATATTCTGCCAGAATCACATAAGAGAACATAAAAACACAAAATAAATGCAAACTATATAAAATGTTGTAACTATGCAAGTTATCATGTGAAATTACTACAACTGTGCTCATATAACAGTACAATGAGCTCTTAATAAATTGTGCATAAACTGCAAACAAATGTCCTTGTATCTTTAAATAGTGTTCCAGGATCATGACTATAGTGAGCTTATCACAAATGTGCAATTTGTGCTGCTGATCACAACAAAAAGTCCCATTTCACCCTGCTAACATCAGTGCCGTAAAGATCAGTGCCCCACACAGATGTGTACTTATCACATGGATATGACCCTTAAGGCATAAACACTTTATTTGCTCATTCAACATCCAGCAAGAAAGACCACCATTTCTCAAGTGGGCTCAAGCCTTACAGTTTAAAACAGATGGAGAAACCAAAAGGTAAAGGCATTGCACAAACCAATTTATTAGAATGGTAAAAAGCCCCAAAAATAAAGTGGTCCCAGCAGAACTATTGGATACTGATATCACTTCCTGTGATGAGGAATGCACACTGGTTTTGGCAAAAAGGGAGCAGCGCAGGCTATGGAGATTAAAAGATGATGGATATAATGGCACAATTAAATTTGAGTTTTACCACAATAAAGAACTGAATTTTTATTGTAATTAACATTTTTATTGAGTTTTCACATGTATAAATATACATGACATTTAAAAAAAAAAAAAAAAACAGAAAAAAAAAAGAAAAAGAGGTTCACCAATGATAAGAACATGTAAAGGTAAAAAAAAAGCCCAAAACATACAATGTCAATAAAGCAACAGTGGAAGAATAATCAAACCAGTACATTTTGAACAAGTTGAGAAGAGATATAGGCATCCCATAGGTTCCATACAGCTTCAAATATGGTTACAGAGCTGGCATGGAGAGCGGTTAAATATTCCATTTTTTCTAATGTCTGTAATTATCTTAAATAGTGTCGGTAGTGAGGGGGGTGTGGAAGAGAGCCAGCACATTGGAATGGTTCTCCTGGCCGCTGTCAGAACATGTACAGAGAGTTTCCTGGACAGTTTGGGGAGGCCCGGGAAGGGTAAGCCCAATAGAAAGTAAAGGGGTTCAAAAGCGAGGGCGGTACGTAGTAGAGAACGTAGCAGGGACCGTACATCTTCCCAAAAGGGAATGATGGACCTACATTCACAAAAATATGATATGATAAAGGTATCCAGATTCCCTCCCACATCACCAGCAGGCAGGAAAAGCACTTAGGTTACAGGCATGGAGTACATCAGGTGTTCTGTACCAAAACAATATGATTTTATACAAATTTTCCTTATAAACTATGCATATGGAAGATCTAGATGCGTTTTCCCATATCTTTTTCCATTCCACCAAATCAATGTCACAGCTGAGAGATTGGGACCATTTGCGCATACAGTGGTGAGTGTCATTGGATAAGATTTAGGCTTCCATAAGGAGCTTATATGTAGTGGAGATTATGCCCCTTTGATGTGGGCCCTGTATACATAGACGCTCAAAGGGAGTAGGCTTCTCCAGGGTCAAAGAGGGTGACAAGGTAGAAAGGAAATGGCATATCTGCAAATAGACATAGAAATGTTGGGGAGATAGATGGGTTTTTTTTCTAGATAACAAAGAAGGGTTTAAGTACTCAAATCACCGGGTGGACCAGATGGTGCAGTTGGAAGAGATTGGCTGAAGCCCAAGGGAGCACTTGGGACATGGCCAGACTGTTCAGAAGGATGGGATTGAAAAGAACATTGGTCAAGGGGGAGCAATCAGAGGCCAGCGCGAATTTAACTTTGCATCTCTTCCAAATAGACAGGGACAATTGCATAGGTCCAAGCAAGAGGTGTTGATAAAAAGTGATATCCACCACTGACGTAGACCAGAGAAAGGAGCATGGGTGAATCGGAGTTAGTTGTAGGGATTCAATCTCGGACCATATGTTGGGAGGGCGTCTAGTGGACCAGGAGATTAGGAATCTGAGGTGGGTAGCATATTAATAGGTCACAATATCCGTAGCACCTAGGCCTCCCTTAGAACGCAAGGAGAGAAGTACGGTGCGTGCGATTCTATGTTGTTTGTTATACCAGATGAAGCATAAAAGGGATTTCTGAATTGAGTGTAGCTTGGACATAGGGATGGGAACGGGAAGTGTCGTGAATAGATATAAGAGTTTGGGCAGTATGTTCATTTTTATCACATTGATAAGGCCAAGAAAGGAAATGGGTAGGGTATCCCAAAATTTTAGAGATCGGGAAATGGCAAAGAATAAAGGAGGGAAGTTAGCCTCATATATAGAGTGGTATGAAGAAGTGAGGTTGGTACCCAAATACTTTAAAGAGTGAGTACACCAATGGTATGGGTAAAACGATTGGAGAAAGGACAGTGCATCGGGTGGGATGTCCAAAGGAAGTGCTTCAGTTTTGGATGCGTTGACTTTATAACCCGACAAGGCCCCAAAAAATTGTAACAGTTTATGGAGAATAGGTAGGGAGGTAAGAGGGTTTGTTAACGTAAGGAGGATATCGTCTGCAAATAAGGACAATTTGTATTCATGCTAATGAGAATGTATGTCAGGGACCATCGCGACGCATGGGTCTGCACATGCGTAGGTGTCTGTCAAGACATGCAGGCAGCAGGGCACTAGGACCCAGGCGCACCCGTCTATGACAGTGCTGGCCAGGCACTAGGACCTAGGCTGCGCCTGTCAGGTGCAGGGCGGGCTACTTAAACCAGCCCTGCACAGACACTTGTTGCCGAATGGTCTTTCTGCGATTGCTGTTATCTGATACCTGTGTTGTGAGTACTATTGATCCGGATTGTCTGACCTTGCTGCCTTCTCCTATCCTGACCCCCTGGCTTGCCTGACTTCGCTCCTGGATGTTCCCCTTTAGATCTGATCTCCTGTTATTGACCTGACGTGTGACCCGACCATTCTTTGCCTACTGTTTTGTACCGCACCGACCCCCCGGCTACCGACTTGGCTTGTTTGACTTAGCTTTTGCTCCTCCATCCATCCATCCCTCTAGGACCCCCTGGTCCCCTCACATCAGACTCTCACCCTGCGGGAGCCCCTGGCGGACTCCTCTCCCACTGGTGGGTATATCCAGTAGTCGCGACCTGGTCTCGGAGCACTTCAAGTTCATCCCCACCATCAGGGGCTCTGGTGAACAAGTGCTCCGGAACTTAGACTCTGCGCTCTGGGGAAGCCCAACCAGTGGGTTGCTAGAGGTGCTGTCAGGTGGTCCCTTACAATGTATCTCTTGTATATCAGGATTGGACCAAATGGCGATAGCCAGCGCTTCCAGGCAAAGGATAAACAGTAGGGGGGAAAGCAGTCAACCCTGTTGTGTACCGTTTGACATTTGAAAGGAGGGTGAGAGGAACGAGGCTAATCTGACCTGTATAGAAGGCAAAGAATAAAGATCCTTCAAAGCAGCCACAAATGGACCCCGGAAGCCAAATTTCTCTAAGATCATAAACATGTAGGGCCAGCTAAGGCAATTGAAAGCTTTCTGAGCATCCAAGCTTAGTAATATAGCAGGAGTCGAACATTGGTTAACCAAATCAATCAAGTCAACGGAACTCCTGATGTTGTCCACGGTATGTCTAGCCGGCACAAAGCCCACCTGATCCCTGTGTATGAGCTTGGAGATGAATCTGGACAACCTGTTGGCCAAGATCTTAGTAAATATTTTATAGTCGGAATTTAATAGAGCAATGGGGCAATAGTTAGCCGGGATAAAATGGTCTTTATCAGGATTGGGAATTACAGAAATATGTGCACTTGAAAATTCCACCTGAGGGGCGACGCCCTTTAAGAGATCCTGGAATAGGGAGAGAAGATGAGGAACCA